CATGCATATATGTGCAAGATGACTAAAAGTATCTTTTAGACATATCATAGATGATAGTATAAGTAGAGTGAGTGAAATAGAGGAGGGAAAGTCAAAATACCTTTTAGAATAATGGTAGCTCATGCTGCAACTCTTTTCCTGTCTTTGAATTCATCACTTAGGATTTTGTTCTTTTACCATATCTCCATGTACAGGAGTAGGACTGAACATGATATAAGAAGCCATTATGCCACTGATGAGGAAACTCGAAAACCACATCACATTTTTGTTGTACATTTTCTTGGCACAAAACAAAGCAAATAAAACAAAAACACTCCACCTAAGGAACAAACTCACTACTTTATTCTTTCACTTTCAGTCCTAAGTATAACAATCATACCTGCAGGACAATAGACTGCGTGCTTGCAAAATATGGGAAGAAGGGTTTTTCTGGATAACAGGTCTCTTATCCTTGCAAGTGAAATCCCAAATATGGCCTTTAATAGGAATGTAGACATGATAAACTCCTCTATGTTGCTTTGCTTCTTTTACCTGTATGAAGAGGGCCAAAGTCGGCGACCCCGCCTCCCAGCTTGTCCGACCCGGCCTGCTACCCGCCTGGCGCTCCCCACCCGCGCGCCCGCCCACGCCTGTGGACTAGGTGGGGGGGCCTGGGGCAAAGCGCGCGGGGTGACAGGCCCCGCCTAGCAGGAAGCCCGAGTCCGCGGGCGCTCTGGCCCCGCGCAGTGCTCTTCATGAAGCATGTCAGCCACCAGCGTGGACCCTCAGAGAACAAAAGGACAAGATAATAAAGTACAAAATGGTTCTTTGCATCAGAAGGCTACAGTTCATGATAGTGACTTTGAGCCCTACCTTTCTGGACAGTCCAATCCAAGTAACAGCTACCCCTCGATGAGTGATCCCTACCTGTCCAGCTACTAACCGCCATCCATCGGATTTCCCTACTCCCTCAATGAGGCACCGTGGTCCACTGCAGGAGACCCTCCAATTCCATATCTTACTACCTATGGACAGCTCAATAATGGAGACCACCATTTCATGCATGATGCGTTTTTGGGCAGCCTGGGGGCCTGGGCAACAACATCTATCAGCACAGGTTTAATTTTTTCCCCAAAAATCCCGCATTTTCAGCATGGGGGACAAGTGGTTCTCAAGGGCAGCAGACTCAGAGCTCAGCGTATGGAAGCAGTTACACCTACCCACCTAGCTCCCTGGGTGGCTCGGTTGTTGATGGGCAAACAGGCTTTCACAGTGACACGCTCAGCAAGGCTCCTGGGATGAACAGCTTGGAACAGGGCATGGTAGGCCTAAAGATTGGGGATGTCACCACCTCTGCTGTCAAGACAGTAGGTTCATTTGTCAACAGTGTAGCATTGACAGGTGTCCTTTCTGGCAGTGGGGGGACAAACATAAGCATGCCAGTTTCAAAATCAACCTCCTGGGCTGCCATTGCCAGCAAGCCTCCAAAACCACAGTCTAAAATGAAAACAAAGAGTGGGCCTGTGGTGGGGGGTGCACTGCCTCCTCCACCCATAAAGCATAACATGGACATCGGTACCTGGGACAACAAAGGACCTGGACCGAAGGTGCTAGCCCCTCAGCAGACATTGCCTCCCCAGGCTGCCCCACAGCCCCAGCAAGTGCTGGCTCAACCTCCCCCAGCTCAGCCTCCACCTTTGGCCCAACCACAGTATCAGAGCCCTCAGCAGCCACCCCAAACTCACTGGGCTGCCCCTCGGAATAGAAATGCAGCCTTGGGCCAGAGTGGAGGGGCCAGCAGCGATTGCAACTCTTCTGCAAACACCCAACCTAATTCTGCCCCAAGTGCAGAATCCCACCCTATCCTTGAGAAACTGAAGGTTTCCCACAGCTACAACCCTAAAGAGTTTGACTGGAATCTTAAAAGTGGAAGAGTGTTCATCATAAAGAGCTACTCTGAGGACGACATCCACCGCTCCATCAAGTACTCCATTTGGTGTAGCACAGAACATGGCAATAAGCGCCTAGACAGCACCTTTCATGCCATGAGCAGCAAGGGGCCCGTCTACATGCTCTTCAGTGTCAATGGGAGTGGGCATTTCTGTGGGGTGGCTGAGATGAAGTCCCCTGTGGACTACAGCACTAGTGCTGGGGTCTGGTCTCAGGACAAGTGGAAGGGAAAGTTTGATGTGAAGTGGATTTTTGTCAAAGACATGCCCAATAACCAGCTCTGGCACATCAGACTGGAGAACAACGACAACAAGCCAGTCACAAACTCCCGAGACACACAGGAGGTGCCCCTAGAAAAAGCAAAGCAAGTGTTGAGGATTATTGCTTCCTACAAGCACACAACCTCCATCTTTGATGACTTTTCTCACCACGAGAAGCGCCAGGAGGAGGAGGAGGAGGAGGAGGAGGAGGTCCGCAAGGAGCGGCAGAATCGAAACAAACAATAAGGACAAGCCAGGTTCTTACGTGGTTAGCAGCTGGCTTTGAAAACAGTTTAACTGTATGCTCGGTGCTGCTTGTGGTGTCAGCTCCCACGTGTCATCCTTGTGAGAGATTGAGTGTTGCATCTTTATCTTCTTTATAGTTCATTTAAGCTGATGGATCTGTGTTCATTTGTATTTTTTCTATGTATTATAATATTGTAGAACTCACTAATAAAGGAATATTTTTTGTCAGCTTATCAGACTGACCTGATGCAAGATACAAATATCCTTAAAAATGAAACAAAAAACCTAATACATCCCAAAGTTTTTTTTTTATTTTGGCAGAAATTATGTTCTTTTTTATGTTCTTATTCTTATATCCAGCCATTTAATATTTCTAAAGGAAACTACAAAAATTTTACCCTTTTACTGCTTTTTTGCAAACAGAAAATAACCTATGAGCTGTTTGTCATTAAGAGTATGCTGTTAAAAATCTCCTCAGTGCTGAAATCAGAAGGTTAGTGGTTGCCCTGTTGGGCTGGTTCACCATTTTTCTGTTCATGCTGTCTAAAATGCTAATCTGCCTTTTGGTTTTGCTGCTAGGCAGAAAGAGAAATTTTAGTTTTTCAAATGTGACGATGGTCGCCACTGGAAGAGCCGCCCCTCACAGAGTGTTGCCCACCAGCAGCTGTACCGCGCCCGCTGCCTGCCGTCTCGCTCCTACCAAGGACTTGGAAGGTGTTTGCGGTCCGGTTCTGTGTGTGCGTTCTGATTCTTTGCGGGTCGTTTTTAATTTGCCCTTTTCTTCACTTGATAATCCTAATGCCATCTTCAGTTTTTTACTAATTATGCTGAGCTTTAAATGTAGGCTCTGGATAGTACAGTGCAACGGATGATGTCGACTAAATTCCACGCGTGCGTCTGATTTTTCTTTTCTTGTTGAACGGTTTAAAAATCAAAAAAACAAAAAAAATCCTTTTAGGAAATAATTTGCTGTCATGTGTTGTGGAATGAGGGGCCGTTGTGGAGCTGCCCTGCTACCTAGAGTGGAGTTGAGCATGACAGCGGGCCCGTGCCCGACACCCTTGCGCACGAATCTGCACGCAACCACTGAGGAGGATCCTTGCTGTCTTAGAGCGCAGACGCCTTCCACAACCATTTACTCTAAAAGACCCTCTGAGTTAAAAGTTGAAGCTGTATTCTTTAGACTTGTATTTGAAACCGTGTCATTTCCTCTGAGCTGTTACTGCCTGTACAGAGTCCTGACCAGCGATGGATTGCTGTCCTCTAGGAGAATACAAG